TAGGATTTCTATTGGTATTAATTTTTCAAATTTAATTTAGTAGATATTGTGATTTGACTGCACGGATGGCTGGACAACTAGCTGCCGCGCAACGTGTTGCGGGTTCGATTATCGCCCGAATCATTTGCGTGTGTGGTCCACAAATTTTTGTTCCAGGTGTGGGTGTGATGTATGTCAAATTATGTTTTTGCAAACGCACCCGATACCACGACATAGGAGAAAATTAAAGTGAGAGCACAGTTCCATAAAAATAAAGAAACTGTTTAAATTTAGAAAAGGAACGATGTTTGTTTATGTCGTTGACATTTAGTGATGTCATTAATATGGCAAATATTTTTAGCTCGTTGGCAACATTGTCTTTCCGTTTAGAAAGAGAATGCGATATGTGAATCCTCTTGTGATTTTGGTATGACTTCATAAAACAGATCAATCGTTTCATGTTAGGTTAAAAAAACGATAGTGTACAAGTAAAATTAGCTAAAATATTTTCGTAGCGTTTTACATTCGTACCTATTCATAAAATATCAAGTCTGGGAGAGCCCTGCTTCGGCACGAATGAGTCGGCACAACCTTAATGATACCACGGCTTCACAGAAAACCGGCGTGAAACAACTACAACGCTGTGTTTTGCCGTGTGAGTGAGGCCCAATTTTTGCTCTGCCCAATCCCTAAATCTCCAAAACCCTAATCCCCAAAAGGCCGGAAATGCACTCGTAACTCTTCTGATGGTGCGAGTGTGCCATTGACGGCGTTGATTGCTTACCATTAGGTATTCAGTCTGTTCGTTTGCCGTGCTTTACATATAAAAAACATCAATACATCTCATCATCAGCCTACATGTAAACTGTACACATGATCGGCGGCGGCGACCTCTCGCGCCCGTCTTTAATCGACGCCATGGTGTATAGCTTGAGCAAATAAACCACCACAGATGGGGCCCTATAGGGTTGATGTTTAGCCGGGGTTGCTGGGCAAGCGCAATGATGCACCGCGGCCTTGGCCTAGAGCAGGAGAAGGAACGGAGGGGGTTTTAGTCAGTAAGAGTCTGACACTTCCTCTCGCCTCACCCTGGGCGGGAGAAGTCATTTGACGAGTTTTACCCGGACAAATAAAATGGCATTTTTGGCGAATAAAAATAAACACAAAATTAATGTCAATATTCTTTTATTTTAATAAGAAAGACCATTTCAACATTCGACTAACATTTCACTTTCTCCTTTAGAACAAATACAGCTCCACACCTCTAAAATAGACATCACAGATAAAATATAGACACAAAATATCGTTTTTGCCGCTAAATTGTTACCAGTTGTCTATCAAACGCTGTTTAGCTTCATTTAAAGTCATGAATTTAAAAATAATGTACTTGAGGGTTACCACATTCTTAGTATATTTTGACAATTTTACAACTGGATGATTCTAATAATTTAATTTGATATTTATTCTTAATTGCTATGGTAAAATTCCAAAATATACTAACGTATTAGTGTATTTATAGTATGTATTAAAACTATATTTAAAAAATTACCTATCTAAAATCTACCCAACATAACTGTGTCTAACTACACACAGCCTTTCTTGTCATATAAGTTCTTGGTTTCTAGCCAAACCTTCAATGATAATTAAGTTATGGTTGCTACCATACTTTTGAGTAAGTTTCCAATGAAGTTAACAATAATTATAATTTTAACAATTACCATGCTTATTTTCTCCATTTATAAGAATTCTCCAATAAATTTATACGGGTGGATACGAGTATGTATTTCATACAAAACTTAGTAACCCTGATTTAAAGATGGCGCTTGGGTTCCATAAATGGAGAATTTTACCATTTTTTGCATTTTTTATAATACTGATTATCTCAATAGTACCTACTGATTTTCGTGTGTACTAGCTGGTATTTTGAGTTTTAATTATTTTGGAAACCGGAGTAACAAGACAATCAATATTTGATAATCATAACATAAACATTATTAATTTGCAGCATAACCAAAATAATTATGCATTAACGTTTGGTACTTAAGTTATTAGACATAAGGTACATTTTGCTTGGGGCCTAATACAGACTGATTTATTTAAAACCATCCAATTAAAAAATCTTTCTGTATATTAGAAATATGCATTTTAATTTACTTACATTATAATGTACCAATATTTAGGATAACAACAGGCTGAAGTACGTCAGTTTCTTTTCATGACAAGATACAAAAGATAACATTAAACTAAATATTCCATAATTTCACTATATTAAAAGCCCTTAAAAATACGAAATAAGATTAGGTATCATGAGGGTTCCCCGTTTTATGATAATGAAATGGCGCTAGTGAATCATAAGGCCCGACTCGACCAATAATTAATGACTTAAATTGAATAGCAAATGGTCTATTGGTCAACAGACCTTAAGCTACACCAGCGCCTCTAGCGGCGCGCAAGTTTGCATGAAGATCCTCTTTTTAAATCGGTAAACGTTTACAAAAAGAAATGTTACAAAAAAACTGGATTCGTGATTCACTTTTCCTTTGATATGTTTTTTTAATATTGGGATGGAGATACGGTAATTCTTAATTGATGTTTTGAATGATTTTCTGGCTATCAAAATACTCTAACTGGCAAGATGAATGTATATGGCAGATGTCACATATTTACAATTGATGGGATTTGATTAGTTTTTTGTCGTCAGCGTCGAATATAGCAACAAGTAAAGCTGTGGTAAATAATTTCAAAAAATATTATAATACCTAAATTTAATTAAGGCCTGTTTGTAGGCTTTCTACAAGGTACTTGAAAGTATGTTTATCACGAAATATTTTGAAAAAAACCAGTCAATTAAGAATAGCTTGGGCATCGATAATAGTAATTTACTGAGTGAAATTAATAATTTGGGGTGTAGTGGGGACATTTCGCTTTCTCCCTCGCACACAGGTGTATTATGGCGATGACGTCAGAGTTTGTATTGAACCTCCCTTTCTTAAAACCTCACCACTAAGTTTAAGACATTTCACATTAACATGATAGCGATTCCTGTGCGCATTTACATAATTTTATGCCTAATTTAGACCTAGAATAAAGTACATATTGATAAAACAATAATAACTACTTACTGGTTTATGTTGGAGCAGAAAACATGACAATATAGCTCTTATATGCAAAACGAGTTGCTATTATAAGTTTAAAGTTTAACTTTATGAAAAAGAAGTTATTCACAACAGTATGGCAACAATAAAAAGACTTCAAAAGCAGTATAATCGAGTATCAAACATAACGGAGCTTAGCTAAACAACATTTCATAGTACAAAATAATTACCTTACATAAATGTGTGCATACAATGTATGTTTAAGTACAATATTTACATGGCGATTATATTATTATATTATGTACATTTCATTTCGAATTAATTCACTAAATCTTAATCCCCATAAATGGCTATGTTCAATCAATTCATTATAACAACTAATTTTATGTAACTAGAATCTAAGTACAATTTGAATTTTCTCTCCAATGTAACTTGAATGTAAAAAAACGCTACTCTCTCAACTAAAAACTCCAATGTAAATTGAATTAAAAAAAATTGTATCTAAAATAAAATACAATAAAGTCGAAAATACATTCATGTTTTTGATTTGAGATATACACTTAACTGGTTTCATATTTACATTTTTTTTAAATTAATTAATTTTTTTGGTAGGTATTGTAGGATTGGTTCAGTGTAAGCAAATTTTTTTCGAAGCCAATGGCCAATAATTGTTTTTAAAGCAGCTTTTTATACTTAATAATTTTAAAAAATGGTTGTTCTTTTCTAACTTTTCGTTGATGTAAGGAACACCTTATGAGATTACCTAAATCCCGAACGTAAAATGGCATGGATTGTTTACAAATGACAGGGTGACTGGAAACATTAATACTGCTAATGTTCTCGGGACATTGAGCAAATCGAATACAAAACCAGAATGGCACAATCTTTTCGTCAAATATTACAATAATAATATTCAAACGCTTATCCTTACATATGCGTATTGTACTTTGTTTGATAAATTTCTACGGACAAGGGTAAATATTAAAGTCGACTAAATCCCTTTGCCGGGAGTGCGGGGTAAGCGCAATAAGATACCGTGACCTTGGCCTGGATTAGAAGAAGGAACGGGGTGGCTTTTAGTCAGTTATAGTCTGACACTCCCTCTCGCCTCACCCTAGGCGAGAGAAATCATTTAATCAATTTCTCAATCATTTGATGTCAAAGTCATTTTGCTCCCTCAAAAAAAAACAGTCGCTTCCTTGGACAATTAAAAGTTTAGGAGTTATTCATCATCCTGATCCACTAATATAAATAAATCTTCAAAATTATATATTGCAGTATAGTACTACAACATTAGATAAATTAATATATAAATATCACATCACAATGCTAATATCGGCTATGCGATGCGCGCTTCGTCTTAGCTTCTCGGCAGTCGGACTTCGAATGACCAAATTGTAACTAAAATACCGCCCACTCTGTTTATAGTTTGCTAAGTACCTACATCACGTGTCACTTAACAATGTGGACGACATTACACCTTATTATAAATAGCATAAAATCCATCTTTATATCAAAGGAAAGGCCGTGGGGCACATTTTAAATGTAACACCAACATATCGCTATTTTAAATTGTACGGCTCACGTGATACAAGACGAACAGCTTGTTGGAAAACACCGACTATCTTTGCCAATTCCTAAAAAAATGTACTGAAAACTAAAAAGAAAAAGGAGAAAATTAAATGGAAATTTCAAATTAACTATTCTAAGTTACAGCTTAATAACAAAATTCAAACAAAATCTAGAAAAAAAATAAAAATTCAAACTAAAAAAGCATCATTCATGTGAATGTTTTTTTTTTTCAATTAAATATTTTTATCAACCAATGTATCATAAAAATGTGTGAGAAACTTTATTTGACGATGCTTCCGCCAAGGACCAAATATCAGTTAAGTATTCTATTTAGCTTCTTTAGAATTTGACTTTCGGAGCAGTCAGCGTGGCCTAGGTATAGATGCTGAGAATCACGACATCTGACTAACGAAACATTCTTTATTAATAGTCCAAAAACTGTTGCCAATGATAGACAATTGTATTTTATTACAATTAAATTACATCCCCACTGCTATCATTTAGCCGTAGGTGCGGGGTAAGCGCAATAAGGCACCGCGGCCTTGGCCTAAAGCAGGCGAAGGAACGGAGGGTTTTAGTCAGTAAGAGTATGACACTCCCTTTCAGGCAGCTTGGGTTGCGGGTGATTTGCATTGGTAGACGTCCTGCACTAGGCTTGCCGGGATATTTTTCTCTTTGGTAAAAACCAGACACATTTCTTATAACACGATATAACCGTTCTTACAAAATGATATTACCTATTCGAATATTACGAGGCTTTGATTAGAAATATCCGTATCATCCTTTGTAATCATCGCTTGTGAAGTTACAACACATATAAGGATTTCAGTTCTATGCCTGCTCTAGAAATTGTTCAAATTAGTCAGGCGATTGTATTTCTATAGTAAACTTCAATTGTCAAAATTTATTGATCTACTACTTTTTGGAAACAGCCTGCAGCCTCTAACCGCTTATGCTGGACACCAACGCGCTCCATCAACTCGTCTTTCCACCAATGTGCTGTCCTGTCTATCGTTGAAGGAACTTGTAGGCAGGTTAGGCCACCGAATTCACAGTTTATCTGCAAAGATACATTTTAAAAGATTTATTTAATATTTATGCACAACACACACAATAAATATAAAAAAGGAAAACAGAGGTACGTAGGTACTGCAGATTACTGATAGGAATCTCTTCCTGCAGCCCTTCCTGCAGAAAGAAGAAAAGTAAGCGACATAGACATTATTGTGTATAACACATTTGAGCAAAAAAGTAAAACATGGAAAGATTAAAAAAAAGAATGAAAGATTAAAGATCAAAGAAGAGAAGAGAAGAGAGAACAAAGACAAAACTAAATCTAATTCTAGTCCTAGAAGTTTAAAAACCAAATAACGGCTTATATATTGTAAAGTGGAGAATATGTATGAAAGCATGTAGAAAAAAACGACACACTAGCTTAAATCAAATTGACGCCTTTTCTAACGAGCAAATAATTAGGTCATTTACCCGGTAATGATGTAGCAGTGCCCTATCGGTGTTGACACCGACAGAGCTGGAACCTGGTGCGAGCTCCCACACAAAATGGTTGCCAAGTTCCACAGCATCGCGCGGCCTTAGCGCGTACTTGCTTCTGTTCTTTAACGAATGCGGCGTACTCCACCGCCTTGTCTTACGGGAAGTCAGTAAAGGCGTATTTGCCTCTGGGTCATCCTGAAAGGAAAAGTCGTAATAAGCCTAGTTTTATCACTATTGGTGTGATTGACAGTCTGAGTGTGCTGTCTTCGTCAAGCTCTCACGACACGGGAGAATGTCAAGTTTACAGAGTAAATAAAATACAGACGAGCAATTCTTGGGTATTGTGAGTACAGACGGTTTTGCAGCTAGAAAACAATATACTAGTTGCTATAAAAATAAATCTAACCTCTGATCGGATTTCAAAAATTATTTTATTGATAGATAGCTGCAATGTTACTCAGTGCTATATAGGCTATATTTTATTTGTGTGCCCATACACAAATAAAATATTGTTGTGTATGGGCATACAAATAAAATATAGCCTTCGAAACGCGTGGAAACTGCGTAGAACACCTAGTCAAATTGGAATAAAAATCTTACCTCCCATTTAAGATAAAAGAACGCATTCCGGAATAAGAATGCAGATGGCGCTTTGGAGCGCGGTTGGTACGACGCTCTTAGAGACGTCAATAAGGCAGGTAGCGTGCGCTCCCTTCGGGGGAACACCACTTCATCCACGTCTATCACAAGCAGCCAACCAGTGCGGGACATCGACCTGTATAGACAGTCGTTGAACGCCGCGAACTGGCCTTCTGTTCTGTAAAACCAAATTATAGCATGACAATTTTTACTTCTTAAATAAAAACTTTAAGAATGAAGAAGATATGGATTAGAAAATAAACATTCTTTGTTTGGAATTTTCGTATTCTTCTAGCTTTTTTTAAGAATTATTTTTACAAATAGCTTTATTACAGAAAAACGGCGTGAAACAACCACAGCGTTGTGTTTCGCCGTGTGTGCGAGGTTACCGGAGGCCAATTCCTTCTCCTCCTCCAATCCCTCTCCAATCATTAAATCTCCAAATCCCTAATCCCCAAAAGGTAGGCAAGGCACACGTAACTCCTCAGTTGCGGGTGTCTATGGGCGGCGCTGATTGCTTAAGATTCGGTAATCCTCGCTCGTTAGCCAACTTATCACTTAAAAAACTATTTTTTTGCCAAAAACAAAAATTTTACATTTCGTTTATGTCATTTTAAAAATAATATAGTAAACATTATGGAAAATAACGTTGTATTTACGTGTCACGCAGTCGACCGACGACATCGCGTCGTGGCGACGCGCATGGCGCTCATGAATATGAGTCCCGTTGTGACTTGAAACTAGTCGAGCTTTTCTCATTTAGTTCACGTGAGAACGTTGTTATTTGTGTTAATTATTTTTATTCGATAAACTTACCTAATTTCCACTTTTGATAAGATAGGAAGTTGCCAAGACAGCAATGTGATGAGCCCTTGTTTCCGATAGTCTTCAAGTAGGCATTCGACGGAAGAACTAAGTGACTGATTGTACATATAGAAGTGACTAGCGCCCAGCAACCGATTTATCTCAAACCACTCCACGAGCCAATCAAAACGGTTGAACGAGAAGTGGAAGGGTTTCACACATATGTGTAAATTATCCTGAAAAAAAAAAAGATCTTTGTAATTTTTTTTTCAAAAGTGATATAGGTTTTATCTTACTAAAACTGAGACAATCGATTGTTCGATTTGACATCTATTGTAGTTATCAGTTATCGATCTCAAAGACTAATTATGAGGAGTTACACTTAAACCACCTCAACATAAAAACAACTGACTGCATGGTTGGTGCGGTGGCTGGGCAACTGCCATGCAACGTGTCGCGGGTTCGATTCCGGACGGAACAACACTTTGTGTGATCCACGAATTGTTGTTTCGGGTTTGGGTGTCATGTGTATGTGACATTGTATGTTTGTAAGCGCACCCACAACACAGGAGAAAATCCTAAAGTGGGGCAACGTTTTTTATAAATATATATATATAAACTTTCTTCTCTACCTTGACCTTTAAAAAAAATAACCGAGACCTGTAAATATTTTGTTCGACCCTCAAAAGTATTTGTCAATTTTGCTAATAGAAAAAAATATTTATTTGTTTAGTGTACAGTCCGTTGGATGACTTTTACACCACCGTAAGTGGCGTAATGCCAATTTTTTTCCCTACTTGAAACTAGTCGAGTATCTCGTCAAATTATTACGTGAGTAAGCCGAAAACATAATAAATATTTTAGAATGTCTCACGAAAGTTATAATTTTTTTTTTCCCCTCTGCTCCTATACAACATGTACATTTATCAAGAATAAATGTAAAAAAATATACAAGTAATGAACTTATTTTACCTCTATTCCTGGTTTTGGTTCTGTATCTTGTACGATAAGTAGATTGGTGGGAAGTGAGTTGAGTTTGTCGCTGGCGAGAACTGCCACTGAAGCCCCAACAGTCTCGTGCGGCTTCACTCCTGAGTCCGCCAGCAAACACAGAACGTAAGACGCACTGAACTTTAAATTCCAATTTTCACGGATGGCCTGTAAACAATAAAACAGTAATTAACAACAATATCTAGGTAACTAAAAATCGCGGGTTACTGACGTGTGTAATTGAGAAAAGCTCTACTAGTTTCGAACCACCGAGGGGTTCTTCCTCATGAGCAGCGTGCCGCGTCGGCGACGTCGCGCAGCCTACTAATATCTAGGTAAATCTGGTTCAGGTTTTGTTCACATGTGTAGACGACCCTCGTATCTTGCCTTTTCTAATATCAAATCTTATGTATAAGCACTACTACCGTTTCGGAGTTATAATAATGATCATAGATGGAGCTCTGAGGTTTCTCGCCCGTCTATGGACAAAGGCAAAAGTTTGTATATACGAGTCACTTTACAAACGATCTTCGTTTGAAAGAAATTTTATCATTTACCCCGTTCCTTTTTCAATTTTCATATCAATTCCGCACACATGTGACATCCTCAGTGAAAAGAATTTCCCGCTACTTATTGCCCTATCAGAAAATGAGCTTGGAAGAAAGACATCTGTTACATTTGTTATTTAAAAAAAAAAGGAAAATATTGCGTTACGAGGTCATAAAGCTATTAATGAAATCTGAAAGGATTTCTTATGTTCCCAAACCCCAGCATAGCTGGCATACAAAACATATCTAACTGCAAAGTTGCGGGTTAAGCATCGATCACTAATAAGTTCTTTATTAGTGATCGATGGGGTTAAGCGAAATTATTTACCACGACCCCAGCAAGGAGCAGAACAAAGAACGGGTAAGTAAATTTTTATTCAGTAATTATAGTCTGACACTCCCTTTCACCCCAACCAGGTCGGAAGAAGCCATTTGAGAAATACACTCCTCAATAACTCGACTGCACGGTTGGTGCGGTGGCTGGATAACTGACTGTCGTGCAACGTGCCGCGAGGTCGATTCCCGCACAGAACAACTCTTTGTGTGATCCACAAATTGTTGTTCCGGGTCTAGGTGTCATGTATATGTGAAATTGTATGTTTGTAACCGCACCTACGACACAGGAAAAAATCCTAATGTGGGGCAAAGTTTAAAAAAAAAAACTGTAACTAGTCATGTGGTAATCCATTAGCTCGTTTGCCACTCCTTTGCATTTAAAAACTTGATGGAAAACAGGATTTACATTATTTTACTTAGTTCAGTGAAATCTGTGGAAATACCAAAACTGTGGTCTCAAACACCCTCATCTCCGTCTGAAACCTTTTCGAGGCAAAGCATACCTTTTTGAATTCTCGTCGCTAAACCTTCCCAGCCACGATCTCGACTATTCAAAGCTATTCTGTATAAACTGCGTACTATTTAGGAATTTAGCCTTGACCCCGCTCGAAGAGGAATATTGAATTAAAAGAGGGAATACCTTACCTAAGTTATGTACGTACGTAAGTAGCTTTTTTCTGTCGTATTTACATGTTTTTTTTTCGGACAACGATATTTTCATTCATAGAATTTGTTGTTTTTTATGCTCTAATCTCTGAGGGTTCAGATTCAAATGGGGAACCATTAATCTCAGGAACTATGCATTCGCCTGATTTTTTTTTTTTTTTTTGTATCGTTAGTCCACCTGTCAAGAATGGCTATATAACATCACGCACGCTGCAATCAATACTAGCTTTGTAGCGGAACCACTGGCAAAAACCTTTAATTTTGAAAATGGAAAATCTGAGTTTGTTCTGTGGAACGAAGTCTGTTTTTTTCAGTGTGTAGAATATGTTTGCCTTCAATAACACGGGTCTTCTATACTAGTCTATACTAATATTATAAAGCGGTAAAATTTGTAATCCTTAGAACCGCTGGTCGGATTGCCAAAATTCTTTCACTGATAGATAGCTACAATGTTCCTGAGTGCTATAGGCTATAAAATATCTCGCTACGATCAAATGGAGCTGAGTACCGGATGAAACCGCGCGAGAGTAGCCAGTATATTATAAAATAGATGAAAAGTGATTGATAAAAATGCACTTCTGGACATTCGTGAAATAACGGCTACCGCACAACGTGTCGCGTGTTCCCGCAGAAAAAATCTTTATGTGAACCGCAAATATTATACGTAACGTTTGCGTTATCAGAGGTCAAAGGCATCACAGCCTCCAACAGGCGGACAATGCACTCATAACTCCTTTGGTGTTTCGGGTATCTGTGAGCGGTGACGATTGCTTACCATCAGGTGATTAACAAACTCCTTTGTGGGCTTGTCACATAAAAAAGAAACTTACTTTAACTTTAGCTTTAAGTGTGAGTGTCCGGTTGTTGAGCAGCCATAACCGACACATGACGCTGTCGGCTCCCCGCGTCTTAGTTGCCGCGATGATGCGCACTGCCACCACCGTCCGTCGCTCCACATATGCCGAGTACACGAAGAAACGAAACCTGAAATGAGGTAAATAACAACTTAATAAAACCCACGTTTCATAGTAATTCTGTTGAATGCACGGTCGGCGCGGCCGGGCAACAGGCTGCCGCCCAACGTGTCGCGGGTTCGGTTCCCGCACGGAACAACTCTTTTTCTGATCCACAAATTGTTGTTCGGGTCTGGCTGTGATGTGTACATATGTAAATTTGTATTTTTGTAAATGCACCCACGACACAGGAGAAAATCCTAATGTGGGACAACCTTTTTTATAAAAGAAAAAAAAAATTAAAATATGGTCGTGTACTACCATGCACTTCTCATTCTCATTCTCATCAGGGTGCGTAAGAGAGAGAGCGCGCTCGAAATCTGGCAAGTACCTTCCTACCAAAGTGATTTTTTTCAAGTTATGTTTACTTTCTATGGTTATTTAGACCCCACGGCATACGGTGAAGGAAAACATCGTAAGGAAACATCGACAATCCAATTATAAGTCTGAAATCGCCAATTCGCCTGGACAAAGAGTTGTGCTTAATGCTCAAACCTCCTCCATGTGGGAAGAGGCCTTTGCACGTTGTGGGAAATTATAGGCTAAGCTGATGATGTGAATAAAATTATTATGTCATGTTTATGCTACATTTATTTATAACTAACATATTAACTAAAAAAAATAACTCTGTACAATAAAGATGTGTCACCAAATTGTGATATTTGTGGGGCGGTTGATAATGTTTCATATCCTGATGGCGTGTGTCCGGAATGACAATATGAGGATCAATATTTTTGGGCGCTGTACATTTTTGATATTGGTACTTGTAACACAATTCTATCTTGTCCAATGTCCGAGAATGCTAAACAGTTGTATGAGCTAGTCATAAGGTAAATTATAATAATTTGTGTTTTTTTTTTACTGGTCGATGTGGTCGTCAAGCGACAAAGCCCTTTTTATAAGTAAAAAAAAAAGAACTCTGTAATGCGTAAAATATTTCCTTAATTTTTTATCCGTCTTCTATTTTATATTTTTAAACATAAATCTATTTTATAGCAATATTTAAGAACGTATTTAGTAAATATGTGAATATTCTTTACCATATTTATATGAATCACAAGATTCCTTATTTGATTTGTACATTTAAAAATGTCATTGTAAACCGGGACCCAAACATTTGTAGATGCAATTTGTATTAAAATAAAAGTGCCAACTTTGAGAGCTTAAAATAATCTTTGTACGTAGCCCTATTTGTTGACATATCTGTATAAACCAGTCTTAAAAGCGGCAGACCGATTAATATACTGCAAAATGTTTCAAAACAATGCCGATATAAGTCACACAATGGCACGCTAAGCCGTTGCCTGCATTTCCACGGGAAGGATATCTCTATCTCTCAACGCTAGGGCTGCTACTTATTTGTTACGTAGTAAAAAAAATAATTTCGTAGGTATTGTATGTGAAAGCGTTATTTTTTTAAATTTGGTGTCATATCATGTTTTGTGCACCGTACCTAAAGGCACTCAATGTCAGAAAATGATATCTAACTTAGAGTTGTTTCTATAACAGATTATATAGAAGCTTTTCAAAAAATAAGACGAAAATCCTTTTTTGAGGATTGTTGTTGACAAATTATATCCAAATACCTGGCAACATATTTGTTGCTTCTCGATATTCGCAGTAACCATTAGTGAAGTTGATTGTTTATCATCATGATTGCTGATCTGATGGCTCAATTACCCTCAGATTCTGCCTATCCAGCCCTATCCTATATAAAAGGTAAAATTTCACTCAAAGTAAGGAATAAGAATGTAAAAATTGTAAAAAATAATCGCTTACAATAAACATTGAGAATTATTAAAATTAAAAATCGATTAATTCATTAAACCCAGCGAACGTTGGCATTTGCGCACCTATTCATCTTTTATTGTGTCTTGAATTACCACGATTGAAAAGTAAGGATTATATTTGATATTATAGATTGAAATAAGTAGGACTTTGCGGTTGGCAGTTGTGTATTATATAAAATCTACCACAGTTAAAACGTTGTATACATTATTCATTTCAATTGCTATAACTTTGTTGTTACTTCGAAAACTAAGTTTGAAATGAGGTCGTTTATTCAAAGCGGTGCGTGCACTTTCTATCAAAATTAGACAAAGTTCAAATTGGTATGTTAAGCTACTTCTACGTTATACTTGTATGCAAACTGAAATTACACGAACAAATTTTACAAAGACAATATATATAACTTTTATAATACGGTCATGTACGTAAAAGTCTAAAGACGTCTTATCGCCTGATGTCCTTACGTAATATTACCCAGCTAAAACTGTGACTTCAAATTTTTATTCCGTGGTATCACTCCGGTCGAGACGAACCGTTAAATGCCGAAGCATTGCTGCCACACTTAAAGCTAAACTATTTTGTTGGACTAAATACAATTATAATTTTCACAATCTGCCACCCCTATTTCTTTACGTTTCGGCAACCCTAATGCGCCAAACATACGGTGTGTGAGTAGCATCCCTTTATGTAAGCTCGAGAGAATATCCGGCCGGAAGGGATCGCTAGTTTTGTTTGCAATTAACAATGGGAGAGGGGAATGTACACAATAATCAATGCATATAATATATAACTAGCTATTTGCACTACATTTCGGCTAAACTCTGTTTTCAGTGAACCTTTTGAAGTCTAGGATAGGATTAAGAATGACTTAAGTGATGTTTTGTAACAAAGGATTAACGTGTGTTTGGTTTTATATTGTTTTTATATTAATAGGAGAAAATCCCTTAACAGATGCGGAGGTATGTTTTTTTTCTTTGTTTTCGTCCGATTTGCCCGACTGATACTCATGTGATTTGACTGTGTGTAATGAGAAGGCCTCTTTTGGAACGTGGATGTCGGAGAGACAGAATAATTTTCTATTGTGTCTCATATTCCAGCAGGCAAGAGATTAAAGCACAAAAGCAGTTACATTGATACTATAATGATTTATGTTCAGGAAATATTTGATAAAAAATATACCAAATTAATTAAAATGTATAACACTTGCTTCCGGTCGTGAAGCCGCGCGCGCATGAAAGCAATGTATCCCGATATGATAAAAAGTAAAGTGTTTAAAGCGATAGCTCGTCTCAAACACGCAAATCAATTAGTATAATTTATAACCTATAGTATTCGAGAACATTGTAGCTATCTATCAGTAAAAGAATTTTGAAAATCTGACCCACGGTTTCAAAGATTAGCCCCTACATATACCTCTTTATAATATTAGAAGATATAGTAAGATGATGTATTGTCTCTTAACAACCACGTAATCGGAGGTTAAGCAATTGCAATAAACATCCGAGCATCAATTCCGCGATAAACGCTTTAGCTTCAAACTTCTAAATTAAAAAGACAGTGATATTTATGAACCTTATTTCCTTCGAAATAAGGCTTTTCTATTTCATACAGAGACAACCACAATAAAACAAAATTTGATGAAGTAATGAACAAATCCGATTCAAAGATAAATATTGATTACATAGTATGTATGTATGTATGTATATACCTACCTATAAATAAGTATCAGATAAAAAAACATACCCGTTATTACTACAGCAATATCTAACATAAATAACGCCATCGATGTAACAATACCAATTGACAAAGTACAGTCGAATGAAAAAATTGTAACACCAAGAAAAATATCAAACATCCGAACAAATGATGTGAAAGTGTTGTGTGGTGAAGGAAAGTCGAACGATGTTGATCTATGGTGATAAGCCGGTAACTTACAAAAGTCGATAATGGCCATTGGGTACACCTAAAAGATTTTAATGAGGTAAAAATCTGATGCTTAAGAAACTAATGAGTAAGTCTTATATAATTATTTAATATAATTTCTTATTCGTTTTGTTTTAAAGGAAACTACCAATAATAATACACTTAAACTAAAAACACCTAATCATTTTTCCTACCCTGGGCAACCATTTTTTTTTTCGCGAGTAGGAGTGTCACATTGTTACTGACTAAGAATCATACAATTCCTTATCCTCTTCGAACCGAGCTGTGGTAAAATAAATGCTCTTTTTTCATATCTGAGGCACACTTGATTTGTATCTAAATTAAAACCTACCTTAAACTGTCATAGATTAGAACGTAAAATTAATTGTCATTGCAGTTTTCCAAACCACTGGAACACGTAGAAATGTTCGAAATCTAAATTACATTGTCACAAACAAATATTCACGTTACAAAATTGTAGTTAAAATTGATTTTAGAATAACCAGTAGAATCAAAAAGGTCAACAGTAGGTAGTTTCAGAGTTATATTATATTAAAACGAAATTAAGTATTTGACAACACTTTTAAAAACATGAATTCTCAATTTTTGTAGAAAAAAAAAACACAACAAGTTTAAGTATATTTTTACCTTTGCTCGTCGACTGTACTTTCACCTGTGTCATTATAATATCATGGGTAATGGAATCAATAAGCCGCCCACAGACAACCATAAATACAACCTAATCAAAGATGGACCTTCTTCGTAGCTAATAATAAATATGGAACGAAACTGTCTCTTATTTATTCATTGACTGCAAATACGAATACATTTGAATTTATTTAGGAATGTAACGAAATAGGTCAATAAAACAGTATCTTCACTTGAAGTAATGGCTTGTATCGTCTGAAAGAGTAGGCTGAAGTAAAACGAACGCAAGTATTTCGACATTTAAAACTTTATAATCATCGATTTCCAACCAAGTTGTAGGAGCGTCGCTCAATTCAAATATTGCGTACAATTGGATAGGTAATCAGCAGCCTATCCACTGCTGAAAATATGAGCATTAATCACCAAGCTTGCTCAAAGCAGAGTGGCGATTTCAAAAAAAAAATCTGAACTTACACTTTTTATTAAATAGAACTAACGTCCCGCCCCGGCTTCGTCATTTCTTTATTCAATCGATGTTGTTATTAATATAAACTTTCCTCTTTAATCACTCTACATATATATATTAAAACCAACTGTAACAAAATCCGTTGC